TAGCAACAAAAGTACATCTGTATCTGGGGAGAAAATATAGAATTCTGAAAACAAATTCATTTTACAATATAAATGGCATGGAGCACAAGAAGAGTGTCCGCCTCTTCATGATCATGGCTTAGCAACTTAGTATCAATACTAGAGATATTTTCAACTGTTTTTAATTCATATGTACTTGAAAAATATATTCTTTGATCTTATAGTGCATCATAACTATCATAACCTCCTTTAGTGGAAATCTTGTTTTTTATATTGTTTCCAGATGTTCGCTTCAAACTTATTCTAGTTTTAAGAGACTGGCTGATATAGTAATCAAATACAATTCTAATTTCTTTGTAATAATTTTCAATTTTCAATAGTGAAACAACAAAATATTTGACGAAGCCCTAAAGCAAAATTAGAACGAACAATTTTACTTTTGATGTTTAAATCTTAAATAATTCTTTTGTGTTTAAATGTTTTCGTAAGTATTTTGTCTTTTTTTAATATTGGTTTTTTCAGAATAAAAAAATTATTTGCCTTAAATATTTTTATTTCAACACCTATGTGAACTCTGTTTACCAACTCCATTCCATCAATAGTGATTACTCTCTAGGTATTGTTTGTCATATTGTGGTTAGGTACTACTGAATGCTTTTCTTTTAATGATAATTCTATCTCATGTAGTATTTTGATTTTTTCTGTGGAAGGCAGGGGCTTAAAATTCTCCATACCAGTTTTTTTATCTTTTGTATCATTTATATAATTCCAAAGTATCAAGATGATGATGCATAATAATCTTGCTTCATTAAAAAACAAAAAATTATTCGCCTTTTGAGAAAAGTAGAGTAAAACATTATTCGTAATGAAAAAACATGCCAATGAAATGGGAATGTTTTTTCATTACAAATAATGTTTTCAAAAAACATGCCAATTTTTTTCATTACGAATAATGTTTTCTAAAAACATGCCTACTTCAATTCCCTTAGAACGAACTATCATTCATTGTATATAATAGATAATTGCTTTTAATCGAAATTCATATAAATAACAACTCTTTGAACAAAATGAATCATTATAGCAAACATGGAATAAAATAACAACTTTTTCGGTATCTTATGCGAATTTCTGGGTCTGTATTTTATACAGTCTTAAACGCGTATGGCATATGGTTTTTAAATATTTTTTGTTCATCTTGACAAGTTCTTTCGTATAACATTTTTTGAATTAACAATTTTTTTTTTGGATGACAGAAATAGTGTCGAAAAATGAACTTCAGAGTAGTGTCAAATATATTAAAATGACCTAATGTAAAAAAAAAAGGAATAGTGTCGCAAATGAATATAATAAATAGTGTCGTAAACAAAAGAAAGGTAGTGTCGCAAATAGTAAAAACGGAATAGTGTTGCATATAGTTAATTTCAGCAATTGCTTACTCGTTTTGCTTATCCTTATAGCAAATGGCTTTTACAGAAAAAAGACAAAAACAAAGAATAATGAAAGAAAAGAATGCTATTAAATTCCAAACCCTCAGTCAATGTAGCGGTGCTTCTTTGTGTCATCAGGCTATAAGATATTTGGTGTATGTACTTAATTTCCCGGAAGCAGGCCTTTTCAATATGACATCAGACATGTTATCTAAACGCACATACTTATTATTATTATTATTTTTATTTTTGTTACTATTCATAAAACTCCTTTAGAACATTATTCTTTTTTTCTATTTTAGACACTATTCATTAACTTCATTTGCGACACTATTCATTTATTTTGTTTGTTGCACTATTCATTAAATTCATTTGTAATTCTATTCCTTTTTTTGTTTTTGACAATCAAATTTGCGACAATAAAAATTTGCGTCAATCAAATTTTTGCGACACTATTGCGCCACTCCATTTTTTTGTGTTAACTGTAATACGTTTGACGTCATGGGTCCCGGCCCTAAATGTAAAAATATTTTGGCACCCATTTTTTCTTCTTATTTTTAACCTAAAGAAAGAGTTAAAAGCAAAAAGTTGCTTCTAATACGCATGCGCACACTAAATCTTAACATAACAGCCCTCCTTTCAAAAAAACATAACTAATAAGTGCTAAATTAAACAGTATAGGTACATACAAAACTTCGGCAAGAAAATATTTTTTTGCTAACAATTTTCCAGCGGAATAGTTTAAAAAAAAAGAAAAAAGAGAGGTAATAATGTAAGTTATCAATCACAAAAAGTAGAGTTATTTTTTTTTAAATAATGCAAAATTAATAAGTATTTAAGGGTGATTAATAAATATATACAAAAACATAAAACAAAAAATGATAACAGAACATAAAAAGAGAAACCACTTTAAAATTTCGTGCTTCTTGATGAAATGTGGTGTGAAGAGATCACATATAATATCTCAAAAATACAATTTGCTTAAAGCTTTTTAATTTCTTGTTCATTTATTGCCATCTTAATTGTGCAAACATTGCTTGGTGCAGTACAAATACAAAAAAACAAAAAAAAGTTGAATAAAAAAACTATTATTAAACAAAAGCATGCAATCAGAACCTTGTTTAATGTCGATCGTTATACACACTCCCAAGCATTATTTGTTAATTCAAATATAATGAATGTTTATCATTTAAATGTCTACCAAATTCTTATATTTATGTTCAAAATTAATAAAAAATATAACTCCTAAAGTATTTTACCCATTATTCAAAATAAATCAGAATAGATATCTAACCAGATTGTTATGTAACAGTTATATTCAAACCAAAAGTTATTTTGCGGCAACTGAATTTTTAATTTATACTAGAGGGCCAAAATTATGGAAAAAATTATTAACTAATGAACTTAAAACAATTTCTACGCTTAATGAGTTTAAGAACAAATCGAAGAAAAAACTACTGATGAACGACGTAACGCCCAGCTTTTGCTGAAGTTTTAATGATTGCTACTGTTAAACCTACGCAACAATTAGAGGTTTGTCATTATCGGCTTGACGATCTTAGAAAAGAATTTTCCACTTTTTATTGCTTCATTTCTTTTTTTTTCCTTTTTTTTTTTTTCTAACTATATATAAAAAATTTTGATTTATAAGAGCTGTTCACATATTTCAAGGTAGAAGGCTTGTGTAGAAGGAAAGCTTCAAGATTATGCGTTTTGCTTATGTGCTTTTTAGTAATATATTTACTTACTTTTTTTTATTTTTTATTTTTTATTTTTCTTAACCATTACAAAAACAAAAAGTTGAAGTTGAAGACTTTAGAACCGATCATTTTTATTTTATTAAGTCTTTAGAAAAACGTTTTATATTATACAGCGTTACTTTTTAAATTTTTGTTGTTTTATATTTACGGTAAAAACTAAGGGCTTTGGTGATAAGACCAATTATGTCTTCTTCTTGCCCTTGCTATTTGTATTTATATTATAGTTTACGACTTTAATAAATTATATGGCACAAAAAAAAAAATTAAATACTGATAAATTTTATTAAAGTAAGACTGAAATAAAAATTGAAATGTTACTGGAGATTTTCCCACATTTTCTATAAACAATATTAATGAATATTAATCTTATAAACATTTAAAGCTTTATTAGTATATAACAATATATTATTTTTAAATTATTAGTATATAACAATAAAGGTTATTATTGCATAACTTTTTCTTTTTTCAGATTTTTTAATCTGCTCGCCCCAACCACCAAACAAGCCATGGTAACTTAATGACCAGAGTCAATAATAAAAAAGACTGAGTAATGTCTGATCTTAATGACTAAATTTTATTTAGAATTGAGAAAAGATCTGTAAATTTATTAAGCGTGCCAAATTTTAAATTTGAAACTTGAAAAAAAAAAAAATTAAATAGTTTAAGAACTAATGTTTATTTATAAATTTATATCATTAACGTTTTAAAGGAGCCACCTTAGTATCTATTTTTGCATTAAATTTAAATGTAAATATAATATAACAGAAATATATATATATATATATATATATATATATATATATATATATATATATATATATATATATATATATATATATATATATATATATATACATATATATATATATATATATATATATATATATATATATATATATATATATATATATATATGCATATATGTATATATATATATATATATATATATATATATGCATATATATATATATATATATATATATATATATATATATATATATATATATATATATATATATATATATATATATATATATATATATATATATATATATATATATATAATATCCGTATATATAATATAATAGAAAATAAAAGTAAAAAAAAAAAAACACAGTTAACTACTGTTTGTTAATTTCAAAACATAAGTGTTGAATATTGACAATAAAAATTAAGTTTAAGTTGCACGTTTAATGATTGCTATATTGTCCCGTCATTAAAAAGGTGCATGTTTAATTAGTGGCGGGTTTGAGGAGGAGGGGGCATGGGGGTAGTAGCACCCCTTCCCCCGTTGCGACATTTTTTAAGAAATAATGTTTTGTAAATTGACTATTATACTGAATTGGACTATTATACTGACGAATAAAGTTGACTATTACTCGTAATTATATGTATATGAACTGATTATAACACTAAAGTACAAAAAATTAAAAAAGAAAGTTATTTATAAATGAAAATATGCAGACACTTTTTTTTTAGACCTTTTAAGCCCCCTCCTTGGTGAGTGACAAAACTTGCCCCTGTGTTTAATTTTAAAAACTGTCATTAGTTTTGAATATGGGATAATAAGTTTAACTAATGGAAACAGCTTCCAAAATTTATTGTCAGTTTTTTGTTGTCACAAACAAATGAACAATTCCTTTGTTTTACTTTTGAAGCATAACCAAGACATTGAAAAATGACTAAATAAGATATATCTTATTACGTTTCTTTGGATTCAACCACAAAACTAATTTAAAACTTGCAAAAACTTGAAATTTCAAGAAACTCATAATTTATAACTATTTTCAGTTATAAATGGTATCACTCATAAAAAAGAAAAACGTATACTTACTTTACGCTAAATCATCCAAGAAAACAGTAGAACTGAAAAACAAAAAGTTTCTTCTTACAATGCTTTACTAAAACTATAATAAATAAAAATCTACATTATTTATACCTAAAATACTAGAAATTTATCCTTTTATAATTTATTTATTGTTTCATTTACATCTAAATAAATATATACATATATATAAACTTTTATATATGTGTCAGGGTATGTATTATTCATAATTTATAAAATTGAATAAAAAAAAATCAATACAAACCACAATGTAGAATGTGCATTATAGTTTGTATCGATAAACCTTTATGCAAAACTGATATAATTTTGAATGTTTACTGTTTATTGATAGTTTATTCAATTTTTATATTTTTTGTTTTTATTTTAATAAGATGCATAACATGTTTTTATAAAACTTTTTTAGTAAAATAAAAAAAAGTTACTAAATATAGAGTTGTTGTTGAATATTGATGTTTTTTTTTATTTTTATAATTTCAATTTGCAACTTTTAAATCACTTTAATAACTAATAAAAAAAAAACCTGCTCTCTCTTGAAAACTGCTGCCGTGTGGGCGTCGCGCAGTGGTTAAAGCGTTTGCTTTAAAAGCAGGAAATCCAGGTTTCAAACGAGCTCGGGACATATTTTTGCGTCACGGTAAGGAAAGATGCGTGAACTTCCTGGTTAAATGCGTTTCCGCGGTGCTCTGTGACAAGACCGTTAGGTCTTCTTGGGGCACCCAAAAAACAAAACAAAAAAACTCTTCTTAACTTCGAGCTAATTCCTAGAATTCACTTGAAAAACATAACTTTTTTATAAGACGCTGATAAATTTTAAGCTTTACTGAAGAAAGTTTACATAATAAAAAATAGAATTCTGAAACTCAACATTTATCTACGGTATCTAAAAATAGTATATAGTGGGTTCTATCAGCCTAAGTTTAGAAAGTTTTTAAATCAGCAAGTTACACATTAGGGACTATAAATTAAAATACGAGGAGAAGGTGTTTAAAAGTTTTTGAAATTTAATTATCCAACTCGTTTCAAAATTTGTTTGACCTCGCTACTTCTCACACTTGTCAACAATTACTTATTGAAAAGAGGACCTCCTCCCCTCCTTTTTTTTAGTAACTAAATTAATTTAAAATATTAATTATGTTACATTTTTTGCATAAATTTAACGAATTAAAAAAAAAGAAAAAATTTTTTATTTCCTTTTTAAATTTATTTGAAAGGGGAGAGGGGGGAGGATAAGGGTTATTAAACATTGACGTATTTTTATAGGGGGAGAAGGTCTCTTGAAGTTTGGCGTTGTTGAAAAAAGAAGAGGGAAGTAACAATTTTAAAAAAATTCTTGACATTAATAATGGAAAAGCCACTCAATCTTTAAACTGACAAAAAAATTTACGTTAGATACTTGGCACAAAAAAAAATTTGGCAGCTGGTGGACAAAACCACAATTTGTTAGAAAATTAAAAACTATAGAAAAAATATATAGAATTAAATAAATTTGTACTCTTCTGATTTATGATTTAAAAAATTGCTTTGAGTTGAATATTTTCTTTAAAACCACAAAAACCAGTTCAATCAACAAGACTTCTCACGCGATGCAATTCAACCGATGCAATTGAAACGCGTCAATTTATACTACAAAGCTCCTCACGCAATGCAAACGGCTTTATAAATCTAAATGAATGTTACATATTAATATAATTATATATAAAAAGTTATTATCACAAAGTTGATATACTTTGTGATAATAACTTTTTATATATAGTTATATTAACATATAACATTCATTTAGATTATAACATTCATATAGAAGAAATTACGACTATTCCTTTGTCAAAATATCGACCATAACTTGAAAGTCATGTGGGCAATTCCATTTTTAACTTACGTTACAAGCAAAACAACTTTATTAAAAATTTGGCTACTTAAACTGTAAATTAAATTTTCAGCTGTTTTGTATGAAAGCTGTTAGTCGTAGATTAGTAAATCTGTTAGTAGTAGAATAAATATGCCAAATTATTTTGAGTTTGGCTGCAAGAGGACAAACTTATTAACAAAAATGATACTTAATTTACGTTAGGCAGAAAATAAGTCAATAAATTTTTTCAACTTTTAGGTTAGATTTTTGCGAATCAGTAACGTAGACAGTGATGGATTTAAAATTTTTTTTTTGGGGGGGGGAGGGGGGAAGGGGATGTCGAAACATTGTTGTATTTTGTATCACACTTGATCGTCACCCCCTTCCTACCCCTCCTGGATTAGTCACTAAACGCGTATTGTGTTGGAATATTCAAAAGATGTTAAGAGTTTTATACTAATTTTAAAAAGATATAAATGTTCAGCAGTGGTGACTGGCTAACAAAAATAAACTTGTTACCTTGATACTATATGTTTAACTTATGTTACATCACTTACGTAATCGAGCGATTAATATCGTAAATATTTTATACCTATAGTTAAGAGTTACGTATCAAAAGAAACGCAAAAGTATTGAACTTATTAATTAAAAGTAATTCGTCACTAACATTTCACAATCGCTTTCATCATTTTTTCATGTTATAAGAAATTTATATAATAATTTAAGATATTATCTTAAATTAATTAGAAAATAGTTTTTATTGTTTGTTTTATTGTGATTTAAGAAAAAATGATGATTTTTTTAAAATATCTCACAACTTGAAAAAATGATTTAGGCGATTGTGAAATGATCATAGTAATTTAACAAAAGCAATTTTAAATAACTGTTGGCACTCTTCCCCTATATATATAAATTTATATATATATATATATATATATATATATATATATATATATATATATATATATATATATATATATAATATATATATATATATATATATATATATATATATATATATATATATATATATATATATATATATACATGCCGTGGCATGGACCCAATGGAGCAACCGTTCCAGGCGCCTGAGCCATGAAAGCGCCTTTCAAATATTTCACGTTTGTTCATTTACGTCTAAGAATAATATTTTTCTGATATGTAAGCAACTCTTTATGTTTTTTCCTTTTTTTTTTTACTGTTAATAAAGTCTAGTGTAAAGAATAATGATATTTTCATAACAAAAAGGCGCCTATAAGAAATTTATCTTTTTATTATTGTTTGCGTAATTAGCGATAAAAGTTCAAACCTGAACGTTGAAATTTGGCGTAAAGTTCAAACGTTCGAACTTGAACATGCTAGCAGCAATCGAGCTAGTAGCCCTAGTTATAACAGTATACCTACAATTGTATTTGTAGTTTTTAACAAATTTAATTAAATCATAATAATTTAAAGCCATGTTTGGAAATAAAAAGAAAAAGTCTGGTTTAAAATTTTTTTAAATTATTTGAATTAATTTTTTAAAATTATTTGAATTACTGGCTACATTTGATCAAACGTCTGCAAATCATATACAAACTATTACACAAAGGCAAACCAAAGTACATTATTTGAGTAATGATATTCAGAATGAGCTCATACATTTAATTTCAAAAAATATTAAAGAGTATATTGTTCAACAAATTAAAATTAGTAAATACTATTCAATAATAGTAGATTGCACCCGAGATCAGAGTCATGTTGAACAAATGTCCATTATTATAAGATTTGTATTCCAAGACAAAAACAGGTTCGAATTTCGCGAGCATTTTTTAGGATTCATTCCCGTAGTGGATACTTCTGGTAAAGGCCTAACTGAAAAAATTCTGAAAGAATTAGAAGATAATCAAATTCCTAGGGGTATGATAATGGTGCGAACATGAAAGGAAAAAGGTTGGGTGTTCAAAGAAGAATATTACAATTAAATCCACGTTCAGTTTTTGTTCCTTGTGCATGTAATTCCCTCAATTTAGTTGTTAACGATGCAGCTTCTGCTTCAGGTAAAGTAGCTAGCTTTTTTCTTATTATTCAGCAAATTTATGTATTTTTTTTGTCATCTCCTAGTCGGTGGGACATTTTAAGGCAGCATGTGAAAATTACCTTAAAGTTTGTTTTACTAGAACAAACTTTAAGGGTTTAAAACTTTTAAACCCAGTTTTTAAAAACTTTTAAACTGGGTTTAAAACTTTTAAACTGGGTTTAAAACTTTTAAACTGGGTTTAAAACTTTTAAACTGGGTTTAAAACTTTTAAACCCAGTTTAAAACTTTTAAACCCAGTTTAAAACTTTTAAACCCAGTTTAAAACTTTTAAACTGGGTTTAAAACTTTTAAACCCAGTTTGTTCTACTAGATAAGAAAGTAGAATTTCTGCTATTATTTCTTTGAGATTTCAACTTGAATATATTTGATGATGCTTTAGTCAATATCCATTTTGGGGAACGCAGTTTCTCGAAATTAAAAATAATAAAAAACTATTTAAGATCGTCAATGAGTCAAGAGAGATTAGTAGGTCTAGCTATGATGTCGATTGAATGCGAAATATGTTATTCGTTAAATTATGACGATTTAATTAACGATTCTTCTGAATTAAAAACGAGGCGAGTAAATTTTAAATAAAAACGCTTTTTCAAATAAGATATTTTTTTTCGCTTTTTATCCTTAAATCGTTGTTAAAGCTATCAAAATCGATTGAAAATCGATTAAAGCTATCAAAATCGATCTCTTCTGACTTACTGCAAATAATTTATTATTATTCTCAATTATAATTAGTCCAAATATGGAATATAAAGGATTAAATAAATTATTGACTTATTTAATCCGCGATTATTATACACATATTAAACATATTTTGTTGATTTTGTAAAGGTATTCTAATATAAAAATTGAATATAAAAACGATGAATCAAGGCCTTTTATTAACGCGTGGATTAGCCCAATTTTTGAGAGAATGGCACACTGCACATAAAATATTTCAAGAATAGTTGTAGAACTCTCGAAGTTCTACAAATTTTATTAGAAATATTTTTCTGTAAAGTGCACTGTTATTCCAAAAATCAAGCAAATACAACCGCGTTAATTGAAGGCTACCTGTATTCTACTTTCAAACAATTTGAATATGTTGTATACACCTAAAATATTAATCTACCCATAAAAGGCGCCTTATAA